CCCCAAAACCCCAAAACCCCAAAACCCCAAAACCCCAAAACAATCAAGATATATTGAATCAACGCAAAGTATAATCATGGATATAGACAAAACAAATGAATTTCTTGAGGCAAACTTTGAGTCAAAGTTTGTGGACTCTCTTAAGGACTTCATTAGGATCCCTAACCTCTCGCCTGCCTTCGACTCAGAGTTCCTGACCAATGGGCTAATAGATGAAGCTATTGAATATGTACAGAAGTTTGCAGAAGATCTTCAAATTGAAGGGCTACAATCGCATCTTGTCAAGAATGAACAAGGAAATCCCATGCTAATCTTTGTATATGAAGGAACAGCAGCAGCAAACATTCTTGTATACGGACATTTAGATAAGCAGCCACACATGGAAGGATGGCAGGAAGGCACAGGGCCTACAAACCCTGTTGTAATCGATGGACATCTCTATGGAAGAGGATCAGCTGATGATGGATATGTGCCATTTGCAACTCTTCTTGCTTTAAAGAACGCATTAGATCAAGGACAACCTCTTCCAAGAATTGTTCTAGTTCTTGAAACTGAGGAAGAAAGTGGATCTCCTCATGTAGTTTCTCTTCTTGAACTCTCTTCAGAGTACATTAAAGATCCTGACTACTGCATTTGCATGGCTAATACAGCTTTCGATTTTGATTCTCTATGGCTAACTTCAACTATGAGAGGAATCTTAGCATTTAATCTCAAAGTGAGCGTTACTGAGATAGCCTGTCACAGCGGAGTCTGTGGAGGAGCAATTCCTGAGTCTTTCAGAATTGCTAACTCCTTAATAGATAGAGTAGAAGACTCTTCTACAAAGAGGATTCCCCTCTTTGAAGTAGAGATACCTGAGTCCTATGTTGAGGAGGCTAAGCATGTATCCTCTCTTGAAGGAGAGGATTCCTTCAAGGATTTCAATTTCTTAGATGGAGTAACTCCTATCAAAGTGGATCCTGCAGAGTCTTACTTGAACATCAGATGGAGACCCTCCCTTGCTGTAACAGGAGCAGATGGGCTTCCTCCTACTTCTAAGGCAGGAAATGTTGTGAGAGACTCTACGACTTTGAAGCTATGTTTTAGACTTCCTCCAGGAGTCAGTAGCACAGAATCTTTTGAGAAAGTCAAGGAGATCTTTACAAAAGATGTCCCGTATGATGCCAAAGTTGAGATTTCAGGACTTCAAACTGGAGATGGATGGAGAATGAAAGAACTTGATGCAAAATTCAGAGATTTACTCAATGATGTATCTGATACTTTCTTTTCAAAGAAAGTAGGATCATTCGGAGGCGGAGGCTCTATCCCATTTTTAAAAACACTAGAAAACAGATACACAAAAGCAAAGATTATTGGAGTTGGTAGTAAAGGACCTGGGCATAATATTCATGCTCCAAATGAAAATTTATATCTGCCGTATACAAAGAAGTTCATTGGGGCCTTTTCTCATATTTTAGCCGGGTTAGTTTAAAGATACCATAAATAATCGCTTGATAAAATACTATCTGGTTTTCAATTTCCTCGATTAAAATAGGGGTTTTGGGGTTTTGGGGTTTTGGGGTTTTGGGG